CCTGTGGGTTCATGGGGCGCCCTCCCTACACCAGAGGTCCCTCTGTCAGTTCACATCAGACTGTGGTACCCGTCCGAGGATCTGCGTCCTTTCTCATGTTGATAAATGGGGACCGCGATTAGCTCTCTGCACTGTCCTGATGTAGGCTGTAGGGGTAGGGGCTGTGCTCAAGCAGATGGTTGTCTGCTTGTCAACCAACACTTGCCAGGTTCGGTTTCTCACAGTGGAGGGCAGGGCCCCTGTCTTCCTGGCCTGAGCTAAACTTCTCAGGGGCATTATGTCCAGCCTGCACCCTCTCTGTGATGCTCTCTCATGGTTGTCTTTTACCCAGTTACTTTGGGAAGGTGACACTGGACTCCCTGAGGGTGCTGTCCAGGACTGTGCTTTCTCTTGGAGTCTGCTGGCCCTACCTTCCTTGGATGTTGGCCTCATCCTGGATCAGGACAGTTGGCCAGGCCTCACCACTGCTGCCCCTCACCAAGGATAAGCAAAATGTAGAGCTGGCTTGGAGTTGATGGAAGGTTGTGATGGGCCATGTCTTTCTGCAAGCGGCAGCTTGCTACATCTCTTCTTCTGTCCCTGAGTGTTGGCCTGGTCCAGAGTCAGATCTGTTGCTTGTTTGGTGTCTCTGCTACCCTGTGGCGGAGAAACAACATACAGAACTCACTCAGAGTTGGTGGGTGACCAAAGCCAGGAACAAAATCCACAGGTGTGGAGTCGGTTGGGGACCAAAGCTGTGGCTCTATTCAGTCTGCAGAGGGCTCTGAACTGCTTCCTCAGTTCTGTAGTATCAAACAGATTCATCATGTTATGCAACCAGTACCCCATCCTCATCTATAACTCTTTTCATTTTGTGAAATGCAAACTCTGGGGCTGGGGAGATAGCTTGGCGGTCTAAGCGCTTGCCTGGCAAGTGCAGGGACCCAGGTTAGATCTCTGGTATTGCATGCCGTGCCGCCACATGGGCCACTGGACCCAGGCATGGTGGTGCACACCTATAATCCCAGAGCGGGGGACTGAAACAGGAAGATCATTATGAGTCCGAGCCGCATAGTGAGACACTGTACCAAATAAATAAATACATATTTTTTAAAAAAGCAGAATAAAATGAGACTCTGTGCCCATTAAACTGCAACTCCCCACCCCCGGTCCCAGCCCATGGTGGCCACCATTCTACTTTATATTTCTACAAATTGACTCTGCTCACTACCTTATATAAGTGCAATCGTACAACATGTGGTTTTTTGTGACTGGATTATTTTCCTTACCACAATGTCCTCAAGTTCTATTCGCGTTGTATCTTGTATGACAATTTCCTTCTTTTAAAAGACTAAGTAATAGACCACAGGATGTAGCCACTGCATTTTATTTATTCATTCTTCTATCCAAGGACATGTGGTTTGCTTCTATCTTTTGGAAGCTGTGGATGCTGCTTGCTTCCATCTGAGCGTGGAGCGGCTGCGGTAAGTGGTAGCCCCGTGTCTGCTTTGGCGGGATTGCCGGGCAGCTTTCCAAAGCAGCTGCAGCTTCTGCATGGACTGAGGACAGAACCCAGGGCCTTGCACTTGCTAAGCATGTACTCTACCGCTGAACTGAAGTCTCAGCTCATTTCTTTTCTTTTTTTGGTGGTACCAGCGATCAAACTCAGGATCTTGAGCTTGCCAGGCAAACTTTTATTCTACTGAGCTATCTCCCCAGCCCCTATTTATTTATTTATTTATTTATTTATTTATTTATTTATTTATTTATCATTCTTTTTGACACAGGGTTTTGCTACGCATTTCAGACTGGCCTTGAACTCACTCTGCAGCCCAGGCTGGCCTGGAACTTGCAGCAATCCTTCTGTTTTAGCTTCTCAAGTGCTGGGATTACAGGCATGTGCTAGAGTGCCCAATACTCATTTTTAACAGCAGTATAGGAGGCCCACTACTCACATTTTCAACAACCCTTTATATGGTTTGTTTTTTAAAAATTCTGGTCAGTATAAAGGGTGTGAAGCGGGGCCATCCTTGCTGTTTTGATTTGCATTTGCCTAATGATTGGTGAGACTGAATATCTTTTATGTACATGTTGGCCATTCATTTATCTTTTTTTTTGGTACCAGGAATCAAACTCAGGACCTTGTGCTTGCCAGGTAGGCACTGTGCCACTGAGCTATATCCCCAGCTCCCATTTATCTTTTTTGAAGAACTGTCCGGCTGGGGAGACAACTCAGTGGAGTAAGTGCTTGCCTGGCAAGGAGAGGGTCCTGAGTTCTATC